TGGGGGGGGGGTGGGCGGGGCTGGGGGGGGGGAAGGGAGATGGGGCAGTAGTTGGGGAGGCAGGTGCAGGTCAAAGGTCAGCCTGAGGAAGGAGGGACCAGGTCTGGGCTCTGTTTGGGAAGAGAGAATCCGGGGGGGGAGGTTACTGTAGGATGGGGACAGAAAGGGGGCAGGGCAGGGGTGAGGGGGCAGAGCAGAGGGGACACACTGCTGCCCATGAGGGGAGAAGGTTGTAGCAGTGGGGGAGGGAGATCCTGGTAGCCACATGAAGGGATCGTGGGGCCTGGGATGTGCCCGGCCCCTGGGAGCCAGAGCCGTGGGGCGGGGCAGCTGCCAGAGGCCAAGCCGGGCCGGGCGCTCACCTTGTTGGGGTCGTGGAGTCCGATCCAGACGCGATCCGTGGAGGTCGCCGTGCTGAGGTATTGGGCGACTATGTTGGTTTCTGCGTCATTGAGGATGGAGGCCAGATGGGCCCCAGTCTGCTCGTGCTGACACTCTATCTGCAGGGGGACATGGGCCAGGCCTGTCACCCTGGCGGAGAATGCTCATTGCCCCGGTGTGGGGTCCTGCCCCACCCAGCTGCAGCGGGGAAGTGGCAGGAGAGAGGAGAGAGAGTCCCCTCTCGGAGCCTGTTCCTGAGCCCCAGAGCCGGCACCCAGACAATTCACCTCAGCTGCCCCTCTTCAGAGCCAGTCACCAAACCCACTAACCTGCCCCACCCCATGGATCCTGGAAATGAGCCTCCTACCTCAGCATCTGACCAGGTCAGCTTCTCAGAGAAGAACTTGTAGCAGTGGTCTCTGTAGTGGAACCAGCCACGGGAACAGGCTGCGGCCTTTCTCCCCGATCCAGGCTGGAGAGCGCGCTCCCTTCGGGGCGAGGCTGTTGTGGAGGCGAGAGAGGGAACGGAGCTGTCAGTAGCCGCCCGTCCAGATTCTCCAGACTGCCAAAAACACTGTGACATTTTGTCCTCTCCCAAAATGGCCCCTCTGTCCTATTGCCCCTCAGCTAAAAGAGCTGCCCCTCTCACCCTCTTTCGCTGTGGCAGTGAGGCTGTGCTACTGACAATGACCGGTGTCCCCTCCCCCATGGGACAGGCACTGAGGTGTCCTTAAGGAAGATGTGCAGCTCCTGTCTTCAGTGGGGGGGAGAAGCAAGAGGGAGAACAGTGAGGTAACAGCCTCTCAGACGTCTGCACACCAATGCAAGCAGGAGCTCCCTGAAAAGAGGGGGAAGCAGTGATGCCAACTCCCACAGGAGGAGTAGGAGGAGGTATTTCCAGAAGAAACAGTAGAAATATTCATAGAACTATCCTATACAAAGAAAGGACAGTAGCAGGTATTAATAGGGGGATTTCAGTTTCCCAGCTCTTGGTTGGGAAAACGTGAACATTTCACAATGTCCTTGGGCCGTATGAGGAGCGAAGGGGAAGAAGGTCCGAGGAGAACAGTCACCTCAGGGTTAATTCTGACTCACAAGGAGAAATTGGTTGTGGATCTGAGGTTCTAAGGCAGCGAGGAGAAAGTGCCCCTGAACGCGCAGAAGGAGGGAAGGGAAGGAGTGAGCATCGGCAGCAACAGCAATGGCATTGAACGAGGGTTATTTAATAAGCTCAGAACTGGCCGGTGAGGGCTCATGGGAGGAAAGTCGAGGAGAAAAGGGAGTTCCGCAGAGCTGGCCGTGTCTCCAAGAGACGATATTAAAGGTGCAACGGCGCATTCTCCCCACGCAGGGGCTGAGCTGCTGGCCGGGGTCTGGATTGATGGGTCGGGTGGGGCAGGGACTCGGGGGACCCAGCTCTGATGGCTGCTCCCCCACGGTGGGGCCGGGCCCCTGGGTGAAATGACTTCACGTCCCATCGGGGCAAACAGAGCCTGGGGTGTCCAGGCCGAGGGGCCGGGCAGGGACTCACCTTCCAGCGAGGGGTTAAAGATCAGGCAGCCGAGGAGGCAGAGGCTGAAGAAGGCGACTGGGCCCATCGTCTCGCTTCCCTGGGGAGAAAACACACAAGGGGGATGGGCAGGGGAGCCTGACA